AAATCCAAACTGTTAGGAGGTTTTAACTGATCCATAGTTTTCTTCTGACACCATGTGATGTTTAGTGCATGCAAGTTTTAATAAATCACGGAGACACTGGTTTCATGCGACTTGCTGTTTTACTGAACTTTGTTATTCCCTTCCTTTACAGGTTACCACCCAACACATCTTTAGACTGCTAGCGCCATCCTCAGGTAAGGAATAATAATACAATTACCATACATCACATGAATGAATGAATGAACGCACAGATACGCACTGTTACAGACGAAATAAAAGACAAAATTGTGTTGACTAGTTTTGGATCTAGACTATTTTTGCAAAGTTTTTCAAATCAAATAAGCATCAAATAAGCTTCAAATAAGCTTCAAAATAAAGACATCAAATAAGCTTTTGTTAGGAGTTTCTGGTAATAGAAGTGTCCAGACGTATGCACCCTGTATTTTAAAGAAGAATATTTAATTATTTGCGATACATTATTCATTCACAAAGAATTCAGGGACATTATTCTTGTCCCTAAAGGTTGGAGTTTTCCTCATTTTTTTTAATTAAGGCATTAAGATTTTTTATTTCTCTTTTTAGTCAACTTTAGCATGGGTGTGTTCACTTCTAATTCTAAGCAGTGTGTGTGTGTGTGTGTGTGTGTGTGTGTGTGTGTGTGTGTATATATCTATATATATATATATAATTAAAAAGCAATTTTAACCAGAAAAATCTACAATGCATGCCCAAAGTCGTGCAGCCATATAGTTTCTCTTGATATCAGCCTCTGTCTTTAGATCAGTGTGTTTACTAATGTGCTTTTTTGTCCTTTGTTGTGTATCTTTGGATTATGGTTGTGTTGTAAATAAATCCAAACAATCCAAAAGCCAGTCTTTTTTAAATCTCCTCATTCTTTGTGCAAGGCTCCTCGTAATGATAGGGCCTGATAGCACCTAATAGGGCCATTATGGGAGGGTCTTTGTCTTTCTCATGTGTGAAATGCCATATATATAAATGAGAGATCACGTCTCCTCGCATAAAGCTTTCTCAAACAAAACACGTCATACACATTCTAAAAGACTTTATTGACTTATCTGAATGAGTAGTCTGGATGATTCTCACATAGTTTTGGAGCAAATATTCTAGACTATGTGATACAATTTTCAAAAGTCTTGTGAAGAAATAATCAATATGTGTTTTGTGGCCTTATTTCAGAAACGTCTCGGTTACGTATGTAACCCTAGTTCCCTGAGTACAGGGAACGGAGACGTGTCGTCGGGGAGTTCCCTGACGAATTGGGATCACGCTAGGGAGACCAATTGCCTTCGAGTGAATTAAAACGAGCCAATGAAAATTGGCATGCACGATTTGCATTCCGCGACCCGCCTACCAACGCGGGTATAAAAGGTGGAAGTAAACATTGCGCAATGCTTTTCGCTGAGGAGCCGAACGGTGTCCAGTCCTCCACGAAGGTAGAGCAACATGGCGAAGGTAGGGAACTCAGGGAACGAGGGTTACATACGTAACCGAGACGTTCCCTTTCGTCCTGGGAACTCCAACGTGTCGTCGGGGAGTTCCCTGACGAATTGGGATCCCTAACAAAACGCCATGGTGCTAGCCCCTTCCAGCGCCCAGCTAAGCTGCCCTAAGCAGTTTCACAAATTACGGGAGCTAGCAAGGGAATCACACTGCTGTTCCGCAAGACCCACACAGTGGATTGGATAACACTGGGAAAGTGTGCCCAACCCATAAAAAGGGGAAGGGAACGCTGCGGAAGCCAGAAGCCTGAGGAAGGCCTGGAATACACATATGTACTAGCCCAGGGGGATAGTGAAACATATGGCAGTCCCTGAGGTAGTCCCATCCAGGGGGAGTGGGAGCGTACTCAACAGGGACAACAGAACGAGTCTGTAAAGGGGGAAGACACGGCTGGACTGCACGTGGCATAATGGGTCACCGCAGAGACCACTGGAGATAACACCCAGTCTACACAACAACTCCCTAAGAGGTAGTAGACCTGGCGCCGGCGGTCCGCCACGCCTGGCACCGAAGGGGTGATGGAGGAACTCACGAGGCTAACCAACGTAGGGCGTGTAGACTTGAAAATCATGCTTCTCCCATTTAATGTTGAATCACGGAAGCTACACCAGTTACTTTTGCCAATAGATTTATTATTTAAATGTGTGTCATGTCAGACAGAGAGAAACAGGCATATAACAATAAGGCTACCGGTGAGGAAGTCTCATTCTAGATTTAACTGTTCCCCATTTGTCTATCTTCTCACCCCATCATCTCTAAGTGTCCTCCTTCCTCTCACCCCCTCATGCCTTATGTTTCTCTGTGGTGGTACAGTAAGATTGAGCTTTTATACATCACAAAGAGTCTTACAGCTTCCTTGTAAGGTAACAAAAATGTTGCTTTGAGCTTCTTAAATTTAGAACACATATGTCATATGTACACGTCATGCTTAAACATGGCACAATCCACTTCCATATTAAGAACTAACCTTGTTGTATACATTAGTGGTACATTTGCATCAGTGGAAACATTCCTTTCCCTGCAAAGAACATGCCAACTGTCTCCGTGAACATTGCATTGCAGACATAGTACCCCTAAGCAAAATATAACTCAAGCAGCTCTCTGCTCAGCACACATGTACAAACACTGTCTGACTTCATAAAAAAAACATTATGAAATTATTATTAAAATGAATAAAGAAAAATAATAAAATTAAAATAAAATAACATTAAACAATATTTTTTTCAGTCTTCAGTCCCTCCACTGGAACTACGACAGTCAGTTCCACACCGTCACTCCACCAGTGGCCACCTAATGAAGTGATAGTGAGGAAAAGGAAAAGCAGACCAAAGAAATAGACAAAAAGGATAGAAGAATAGAAACAGAAAACAAAACAAAACCCCAACCCATGTTATGTCCCCGTATACTATGTGTATTTTAATATCTATGTGTATGTATTTAAAATGAACCCCATTTATCTAAGAAAAGAAAAACTAATAAGTCTTCTGCCCGTGCCTGAACTCGTTAATTAATTAACTCCTTCAGTTCCGTGCTAAAACAAAAAATTTAAATAAACGTTGATGTTAAAGGATCCTATCCCTTGGGGTTGAAAATCAGTAAACGGATGTTCATTGTTTGTGAGGTAGTGTTTCGTAGTGTAGAATGTGTAAAATCTCCTATTTCACTCCGTATATCCCATTCTCGGTTCTATCCATTTTTTATCAAAGGAACATTTCTAAAGTTATCTTTAATTTATATAATTCATTCATTCATCCTCTGTTATCCAGACTTCTTTTGATTTGGCAAAAACAAAGTCTTCATCTTTAAACACCACCATGTCTTGGAATTTTCAATAGCATGTCTTATCTGCAAAAATGAAAACCATGGTAGACATATTAATTCACAGATTCAACCATTACAGACTCAGGATCTAAAACTTTAAAACAATGTTGTCCATAAAGCAACTAACACCAAATTGCTAAAATTAATTAATAATATTTATGTTCTCCATAAAGTTAACGACAATCTCCCTCATGGTCTCAGATAGTTTTTGAAAACTCATTCCCATCAGCTCTTTTGTAAATAATCTCCCCTACTCAGGGTGCTGTCCTCTGACATATTTATATCAAGTAAAGGACACTTGTCACAATGAAATACAAGTCATCCAAGGAATGCGGTTTCTGGTGATCAGGCATGGAGAGCTCACATTTTTCACGGGCAGACTATTGTAACCCTCAATGATGCTGTTGGCCTAACAAACATCTGCTCAACCATACCCATCTCACATAAACACCTCCCTTCAGGGTAGGTGGCCAGTGGCGGTGACCCTCTGCCTTAGGTTGTCCTCTGTTGGCCAAAAGAGAATCTTACCCGTCTTTGAGAAATCACCTCAGTACACTGTAACCACTCCTTCCCATTAGAACATTTTTTAATAGGTATTTTCTGGAACTCAGGAAAGTGCATTCAAGAACCATCAGAGCCATTTGGAATGCCTAATAGTGTAAACACATGGAGACAAATTAATGACAGCATTTCATCACTAAAATCCATTAGACATCTTTAAAACATCAACATAGCAATGCTGAGTTATACTTAGTGAATTTAGTTATTACACCCGTTCATTCAGTGTAATGTTCTGTTACATCAATAACCGAACCATCAGCCCTGTTCATGTTGAAGACAAAGATGAGACAAAGAAGTTACTGGTCATGGGATGAACAAATAAAAAATGTTCACTTCTATCATTCAAGGTAGATTCTCATTTCTAGAAACATTTTACTCCCAATTGAGTTTTAAAATCTCTGTGTCTATAATCTCCAACTGAGACACTGTTCTTTACTATAAATAGCTCTTGACTTATGACACAGGCTAAAATAGCAGATTCTAACTGACTTTGAATGAGAGAAAGAACTCTGAGAGAAAGTCAAGAATGTCTCAGAGTAATTCTGTCATGATTCTGCCATCTAGTTCTTGTTCTTTAATTCTTGAGGCAGGATCATGACAGAACCATGTTTTGTGTGCAAGCACATGGCCTTTGGTTTGGGCCATGTGCTTGTGTTGTCTCGTCCTCTGGCCCCGCCCCCTTGTTATCCTCGTTTTGTCATTATTGTTTCATCAGTGTCACCTGTGCCCTTGTGATTGTCTCCCTTATATAATCTCATTGTGGTTGTTACTTGTTGCTTGTTCGTTTTGTATCCTGTCTGTGAGTAATCCAGTCTAGTGTATTGTCAAGTCAAGCTTATTGTCAGATTTGCTCTATGTTCATTGTCAAGTTCGGCGTCTAGTTATAATCAAGTCTTGTCAGTGTTTGTTTTGCCTTGTAAATGTTCGTTTGCCCCCTTGTGGGTTTTTGTTTTCTGTTTATAAATAAAGCTATGTTTAGAGAATACTGTCTGCGCTTGGGTTCGTATCTGAGACCGTGACAGAACGAACAAGCCATTTTTGAACCCAGCAGGCAGTATGTCCCTTCCCGCCAGACGCCAGTTAGATGACCATGAGCAATGGTGGCAGTCGACTACCGCCGATATGAAGAGGGGCAAGGCTCCGTTTTCTCACCAGGGAGAGAAGTCCCAGAGAATGCCCAGGCCCTGGAGGAGAGGAGGACATTCATGCCGGAGATCCTCCTCAATTCCTACTTCATCGCGGGTCTCAATGCACCTCCTCCTTTGACTGAACGGGAGGGCCTGATCCGGCGCCCGTTCCGTGAAGTGGTGGACCATGTGTGTCGGGAGGAGCTGCAGGGTCCCACTAGGACAATGCCATCTTTCTCACTGCCAGTGATCCCGGAGGGTCGTGTCCTAGCTGTCGCAACGCTTGGGGACCATGTTCTCTCCACCTCGACTCCCGAAACACCTGCCATAGCTGTAAGCCTCCGTGGAAAGAGAGGAAGACGGGTGTCGTGGGAGTCCGCATCGGAGGCCTCTTCTACTGAGTCGGCTTTGCCTGTGGCGGTCCTTCCAGTTTCAGCAACGGCCCCTGCGGTGATCACCTTACCGATCACAAGTCCGGCTATGGCTTCTGCCCCGCGGCCAAGGAGAAAGAGGAGGAAGAGAGCTTCTTGTCCTCAGTCTCCTTCTGGGTCCGTGTTGGCTCTCCAGCCCGCTGCTGCTATTCCTGTCCATGTGGAGGTTAATGGGAAAGTGACTGAGTCCAGCCCTGTCCCAGTTAAGAAGTCCATTCCTGTCCACGCTGAGGTTGATGGGAAAGTGACTGAGTCCAGCCCTGTCCCAGCTAAGGAGTCCATACCTGTCCACGCTGACGGTGTTGGGAAAGTGACCAAGTTGAGCCCTATTCCAGCTAAGGAGTCCAGTCCTGTTCCAGCTTCACAGCCAGCCGCAGCGCCTTTTGTCTTTGTTCCACAGTCGCCTGTTGCACCCCCTGTCTCAGTTCCGTTGCTGGTTCCAGGGTCCCCAGTCTTGGTTCCTGTTACGTCTCCGCTGCCAGCTGCAGCGGCACCTGCTTTGTCCCCTGTTGTTCCCCCGGTCACCCCTGCTACTGTTTTACCCCGGTCTGTCCTCCCCAAGACTGTACCTTATGTGCCTCCGCCCAGACCTGTTCGGTCTCCTTGTCCTCAGCCCTCGCCCACGTCCAGTGAGTCTAAGACTTTTTTCCCACCCGTCCACTCTGGACCTCTGCCTATGAACTCTTTTGTTCCCCCACCCCCCCCCCCCCTCCCTTGTTTGTTATTTTTATTGTGTCACCCAAATCCTGTTATTGTGTATTCTTGTTTGCCATTGTTGTTAACTGTTATGTTTTGTTGGCTTGTGTCTATTTTGCAGTCTGTCATGTCCCGTGTTTGACGTTCCCTTGAGGAGCGTCTGGAAGCCGCTCCTTAAGGGAGGCGTTCTGTCATGATTCTGCCATCTAGTTCTTGTTCTTTAATTCTTGAGGCAGGATCATGACAGAACCATGTTTTGTGTGCAAGCACATGGCCTTTGGTTTGGGCCATGTGCTTGTGTTGTCTCGTCCTCTGGCCCCGCCCCCTTGTTATCCTCGTTTTGTCATTATTGTTTCATCAGTGTCACCTGTGCCCTTGTGATGGTCTCCCTTATATAATCTCCTTGTGGTTGTTACTTGTTGCTTGTTCGTTTTGTATCCTGTCTGTGAGTAATCCAGTCTAGTGTATTGTCAAGTCAAGCTTATTGTCAGATTTGCTCTGTTCATTGTCAAGTTTGGCGTCTAGTTATAATCAAGTCTTGTCAGTGTTTGTTTTGCCTTGTAAATGTTCGTTTGCCCCCTTGTGGGTTTTTGTTTTCTGTTTATAAATAAAGCTGTGTTTAGAGAATACTGTCTGCGCTTGGGTTCGTATCTGAGACTGTGACAAATTCTGCATTTTCAGAACTTTATGATTTCATTCTACTCACTTTTACTCTGACTTAGTCAGAAATTACATGTTTTTCAAATAAACATCTTTATATACACTCACCGGCCACTTTATTAGGTACCCCATGCTAGTAACGGGTTGGACCCCCTTTTGCCTTCAGAACTGCCTCAATTCTTCGTGGCATAGATTCAACAAGGTGCTGGAAGCATTCCTCAGGGAGTTTGGTCCATATTGACATGATGGCATCACACAGTTGCCGCAGATTTGTCGGCTGCACATCCATGATGCGAATCTCCCGTTCCACCACATCCCAAAGATGCTCTATTGGGTTGAGATCTGGTGACTGTGGAGGCCATTTTAGTACAGTGAACTCATTGTCATGTTCAAGAAAACCAATTTGAAATGATTCGAGCTTTGTGCCATGGTGCATTATCCTGCTGGAAGTAGCCATCAGAGGATGGGTACATGGTGGCCATAAAGGGATGGACATGGTCAGAAACAATGCTCAGGTAGGCCGTGGCATTTAAACGATGCCCAATTGGCACTAAGGGGCCTAAAGTGTGCCAAGAAAACATCCCCCACACCATTACACCACCACCACCAGCCTGCTCAGTGGTAACAAGGCATGATGGATCCATGTTCTCATTCTGTTTACGCCAAATTCTGACTCTACCATCTGAATGTCTCAACAGAAATCGAGACTCATCAGACCAGGCAACATTTTTCCAGTCTTCAACTGTCCAATTTTGGTGAGCTCTTGCAAATTGTAGCCTCTTTTTCCTATTTGTAGTGGAGATGAGTGGTACCCGGTGGGGTCTTCTGCTGTTGTAGCCCATCTGCCTCAAAGTTCGACGTACTGTGCGTTCAGAGATGCTCTTCTGCCCACCTTGGTTGTAACGGGTGGTTATTTGAGTCACTGTTGCCCTTCTATCAGCTCGAACCAGTCTGGCCATTCTCCTCTGACCTCTGGCATCAACAAGGCATTTCCGCCCACAGAACTGCCGCTCACTGGATGTTTTTTCTTTTTCGGACCATTCTCTGTAAACCCTAGAGATGGTTGTGCGTGAAAATCCCAGTAGATTAGCAGTTTCTGAAATACTCAGACCAGCCCTTCTGGCACCAACAATCATGCCACGTTCAAAGTCACTCAAATCAACTTTCTTCACCATACTGATGCCCGGTTTGAACTGCAGGAGATTGTCTTGACCATGTCTACATGCCTAAATGCACTGAGTTGCCGCCATGTGATTGGCTGCTTAGAAATTAAGTGTTAACGAGCAGTTGGACAGGTGTACCTAATAAAGTGGCCGGTGAGTGTATATTTATAATTTTCCTTATATATTTTCCCAACTCTCATTCTTTTGGAGTGATTATCTATAATTTTCACCAGCTTGTACTTGTCAATTAACTATACAACTATTATCATAGATCTTTCCTAAAAGTAACTCCTTAACTTCAATCTTATGATCTTATTTTTTATCTCTTGTTCTTTTTAGACAAAACTTAAATTTTGTAACATTAAACAATGATTACTTTTAAACCCACATTAACACCAGACATTTCTATTAAAAAGCTTAGATTGTTTTTCTCTTCAAATACCCGAAGATAATGTTTTGCTATTCATTACTTCCGGTCATTTTACCACTCTCTATGTATACTAGAGAAGCAACAGGCTATTTATATCTCAGTGTGTGTCTAGAGGAGGGTATAGATTCCAAAGGAAGGGGCTGCTCCAATCTCCCCTCTCACTCTCCCTTCTCACTCAGTTGTCTTTTTTATTTTTTTATTTTTTAGTTTAACTCAGATCTGTTTCTTTTCCTTTCTTTTTTCCTAGTTTATCTCAGATAATTTTTCCTTTTCTTCCTTCTTTAAGCTTACTCAGATCAGTATCCTCCTCAAATACCCGAACAGCTCTGCGGTCAAAATCAGAATGCCCGCGATCCTAGCTCTTTTTTTTTTTAATTGATACCCTTCTTCTAAGAGTTCAATCCTCTGCGTATTTAAGTTTTAGGATCTATTCCGCCACTTTAAACCGCTATAAATCACTGCTTGTCACACTATCCTCGTCTTCTTCTGAAACGATTCTTCGTGTATTGGATATATTTTAGAGATCTGCCCTTTATCGCAATCTCGCCATATTCCAACCACCTTACAAGCTAATTGCTAAATCGCCTTACAGCTAATTCTATATGGTCTTCTTTCTAAAAAAGATCCACTGTTTTACCCCAGAATTGTTCAAATATTTTAGAGGTCTACTTTTCGGAGAAACTCAAATAAGCCAAATTAAATTGAATTACTTAATTTAATTCCATTTTCTGAATTTTTTATTTTATTTTTATGCCTGACACATATATTCTTTGGCAACACACCTGGTACTTTAAATAACACAGTTCTTTTAAAGCAGTCTCAGTCAATGTCTCAAATCATCAGGCAGACTTAGAACTATTTTAGAATAGGAAAAGTCTTACCTGAAATGAATGAGACAAATGCCTGAAGATGCAATCCTGTTCGATCGTGACGCCAAATGTAGACTTGAAAATCATGCTTCCCCCATTTAATGTTGAATCACGGAAGCTACACCAGTTACTTTTGGCAATAGATTTATTATTTAAATGTGTGTCATGTCAGACAGAGAGAAACAGGCATATAACAATAAGGCTACCGGTGAGGAAGTCTCATTCTAGATTTAACTGTTCCCCATTTGTCTATCTTCTCACCCCATCATCTCTAAGTTTCCTCCTTCCTCTCACCCCCTCATGCCTTATGTTTCTCTGTGGTGGTACAGTAAGATTGAGCTTTTATACATCACAAAGAGTCTTACAGCTTCCTTGTAAGGTAACAAAAATGTTGCTTTGAACTTCTTAAAATTAGAACACATATGTCATATGTACATGTCATGCTTAAACATGGCACAATCCTCTTCCATATTAAGAACTAACCTTGTTGTATACATTAGTGGTACATTTGCATCAGTGGAAACATTCCTTTCCCTGCAAAGAACATGCCAACTGTCTCTGTGAACATTGCATTGCAGACATAATACCCCTAAGCAAAATATAACTCAAGCAGCTCTCTGCTCAGCACACATGTACAAACACTGTCTGACTTCATAAAAAAAAAAAACATTATGAAATTATTATTAAAATGAATAAAGAAAAATAATAAAATAAAAATAAAATAACATTAAACAATATTTTTTTCAGTCTTCAGGGCGCCAACGGAGCGAAAGACGCACGTATCCGGCTGAGGCACGGAGTGGCGTAGCAAGCCGACACAACCTATTCCCTCGCACCACTGGCCGTAGCGAGTACTCGGGAGGAAACAGGTTCCACACGTAGGCTATAGAACCTAGGCGAACGTGTTCGGTGTCGCCCACCCCGCAGCTCTACAAATGTCTGTCAGCGAGGCGCCTTGAGCCAACGCCCAGGAGGCGGCAACATCTCTCGTAGAGTGAACACGCAACCTGGGAGGACAAGGCTCACCCGTAGCTTCATACGCTTGGGTGATAGCATCCACTAACCAGTGAGCTAACAGACAAAGAGCTGATCTGAGGTCCTGAAGCTTTGCGTTCTGTCAATGTAAACCCGCAGGGCGCGGACTGGACAGAGAAAGGCTAGGGCTGGGTCTGCCTCCTCCTGGGGCAGCGCTTGCAGGTTCACTACCTGATCCACGAAGGGAGTGGTAGGAACCTTGGGCACATATCCGAGCCGGGGTCTCAATATCACACGAGAAAAGCCGGGCCCGAACTCTAGGCATGATTCGTCGACCGAAAAAGCCTGCAGATCCCCGACCCTCTTAAAAGAGGCCAATGCCAACAGGAGCGCTGTCTTAATGGACAGGATATTCAGCTCCACTGTCAGCAAAGGCTCAAAGGGAGGACTTTGAAGAGCTCTCAGTACCAGAGCTAGGTCCCAAGAGGGTACAGAGTGCAAAACACGAGGTGGATTTAACCTCCTAGCACCCTTGAGGAATCTGATGATCAGGTCGTGCTTACCTTCTACTACATCGTGATGTACAGCTATTGCAGCAACATGCACTTTGGGGGGGGAGGGAGACAGCCTTCGCTCCAACCCATCTTGTAGGAAGGAAAGCACGACTCTGATCGGCAAGTTCGTGGGTCCTCCTGGTGGGAGGAACACCACTCGACGAATAGGTTCCACTTCAACGCATAGAGGCGCCTCGTAGAGGGGGCTCTAGCAGAAGTGATGGTGTTTACCACTGACTGTGGTAGATCACCTAGAACCTCCGCGTCCCGTCCAGGGACCAGACATGGAGTTTCCAGAGGTCTGGACGCAGGTGCCATAGAGTGCCCTGTCTCCATAGAGGTCCTTCCTCAGAGGAATCGGCCAAGGAGGGGCTGTCGTGAGGAGCATGAGTTCCATGAACCAAGTCCTGGTGGGCCAATACGGCGCCACTAACAGGACCTGCTCCTCGTCCTCCCTGACCTTGCACAGTGTCTGTGCAAGAAGGCTCACTGGGGGAAACGC